TCTCTGTTACATGTAATTTCTGTAGTTAAATCCATTGTTTCATCTGCCGCTTTTTTTGAGTAAATTTTCAATTTTCATTTGTTTGAATCACTTAATTATCTGTATTCTCACTATTTACATGAATTTCAAAAAACACAAATTTGTTGTGTATAATTTGATTTTGAGTTGTGTATACTTTGTATGAGATTCTAGCTCACCAAAATTGCATCCTAACCTTTTGGTTGTTGGTACATAATCAAAGATTCAAAAGTGCAATCCACAATCCAATACCTTGTCACCATGAAGAGTTGTTTCTGCTCTAGTTTTAACAGAAACTACTGGTCCAGATTTTGAGTTATGTTTTCTTTTTTGTTCTCTCTCTATTTATTATTACACACCCCTAATTCTTCTTTGAACAAAAAGAAAGCATTTTTGTATTCAAGTTTCCTAAGGGTCAAACTCACCAGACACTCCAAAAAGACTGGTAAGTCTATCTACCTTCTGGTAATTCTCAAAATATTATCACTGGTTCCATGACACTAGTTAAAAATTAGATCATTTATTTCTTAACTATTGAAAATAGTGCTAGAACAATTGATGTTACTAGACTGACTCAATAATATCTTCCAAGTGATAAATGTGCCTGCTTGGATTTATAGTGTTGATTTGCAATTTCATGTGATAAAAAATAAAAACAATAAATTAAAGAAAAGTTGCAGTTTTAAATTTATCTATATTTAATTTATGTTTGATTTTTCTATAGTTAATTATGCTAAAGGATAAGCATAAATTTCACAAAATCAATTGTCAAATGATGGAGTACAATTATTATTGTAAAGTGTCCATCTATGTTTTACACCATGTAGTAAATGTCTAATATTTTTCTTGAATTTTAAAAGGATTTTGCTACTGATTGGAACAAATATATAGAATTTAGTATAATGTTTGTTAAATATAAATTAATCTTGCACCAACACTAGCAAATGCCCCTATTAATTAATATAGAAGTGAAGAATTATATTAAGGGTATATATTTGGAATACTACTTAGAAGGAACAATCAATCCATGCAATGAAATTCAATATTTTGTAATATGAAAATAAATTTGTTCACACACCTTTTTAGTATAGAACAATACAAATTAATTGATTTATGTTCACATTTTTTTCAATGTTTCAAAACTTTGAAATTTCATTACTTTTGTTTTACCCATCTGATTTTCATAAAATATATGTTTACAACATGTCTGTTCTGAGATCTCTTAACGTCCTATCTATATTGAATATGAAATTTAATTTCTCTTTAAATTTGGTCACAATTATATGTCTCCCTATAAGATGACTTGACATAGAATTGTTCATGCATGTCACATTAGCATATGCATACATGCCGAGTTACTACTGACATTAGCCAACTATATGCAGCTGAGAAATAGGCATAACATCCCGATCTGTTATTACTATTTCGGTAAACATCAACAAGCAATGCTAAGTACATGATGAACTAACAATCGCAGGTGATGACGAAGAAGAAGATGAGATAGAAACTGATTTTGATACAAATACGGACCTAGAGTTTTAACTCACTTTGTGGTACAATTACTTTATGTGTTCTCTAAGTACATTGTTGATGAACTTTGTTTGTTTATCCGGTTTGTTTTGTTGATGTGATAGGGGGCTTTAAGCGATCTTGTTAGAATTTGCCAAGAAAAAATGAAGAACCTGGCTTCAAGCTCGCTGAAGATCCTGCTCCAACTGAGAGAGCTTTATCCTACTTAACTCTAGCTGCTGTACATAGGCCTATATATATATATATAATTATTATTCAAATGGGTATTTCAAATGGGTATTTTATAAAATCATCATAACCACCCTAAAATTATTCAAATGACTTCTTCATTCTTTGTTTATTCAGTAAATTAGTTTTAAATGTGAGTAGACTAATTATGTCTTGTTTCTTCTTTTTGTTCTTGTTCTTCTTCATCTTCTTCTTCTTCTTGTTTGGACCCCAATTTCCCAACTACATTCATATTCTATGGACTTAATACCCTTGTAAGTAACTTCCTATACGATTTGTATGAACTTTGGCCGAAAATTGAAAAGCAAATTCATAGTGAAGTCAAATTTATGTATGTTTGCTGCTGTTTACTCATCTGCTGGCAGATTTACTGAAGCAAATTCATAGTGAATCATAGTGAATCTGCTGGTTAATCTTGATCAGTTTTTTTGCTCTGTCTCTGGCTGCTGTCGCTGGTTGTTAATCTTGTCAATCTGCTGGTTAATCTGAGTTGGGATGTTTGTATTCATAGTTAATCTGCTGGTTACTTAATACAAGACTCCAACTGTGATTGGATGTCGAAGAAATAATGACATTTAAACATCCAATGATGTTTGGATATTTATGTATGTGAGGTTTATGTAAATGTATGTAAATGACGTATGTGAGGTTTATGTAAATGTATGTAAATGATGTATGTGACGTTCATTACTCATGTCATTTTGTTATTTTTTAATGTAGGTACCATGGTTCCTGGAATTAAGACGGGGCGGCGGAAGACAGCAACAAGTGGCAACGTATTATCAGGCTCTGAAGCATGTCCAGCAGTTATTGGCACCCCGTTGACGTTATTTGATGAGACACAGCCACCAGATGATACACAAACAGTGGTGGAGGAGACGCAGCCAGGTGGCGTGGGTAAGAGCATTGAACTTAGTTGTTTACAAATTCTTTTTTCCTTTTTTCTGGGGTGCATAAGTCAGGTCTTTAAGGCAATGAAAACCCCATAAACAGGAAGAAAAACAAAGAAAATGTGAATGCCTTGTTAACCTGATTGGAAAGGAATGCCTTTGTTAATCTGTAGGTTAATCTGTTTGTTAATCTTGTTAGTCAATGTGAATGCCTTAGTTGGATTGAGGGATGTTTGAAACATCATATCAACATCTTGAGCTGATAGTTCAACAATATTGAATAATTACTCTAATCAATATTTGCCAACATTTTTTTTCAGATTGACTTAACATAAGTAAATATCAATATTTGCTAGCAACTACTACAAGATTTGCTCAATATGACTTGTATTTTTTTTTTTTCTCAATATGATTTGTTTTTTTTTTTTTTTTTTTTGCTGCCAAGTAGGATGTTAACAGAATAATAAGTTAGGTCAATACAATAATTTTTTTTTTTTTATGTTTCTCCATAATCTCTAACGTTCGAGTGGTACAGCCGTTTCAGCTACATTCAAATTCATAACATGCAATTTATTTCAAATGGGTTTATGTAGGGTAGCACTATACAATATGCACTGTGGCTGTGTGATATAGTGTTTAATGTTCCTATCCCTTTTTCTGGCTAGTTGTTTGGTTCTCTGGGCTTGTTGGTTTTATTGCAGCTGGGGTTTTTCATGGGCTGACGGGGCTGCTTTCTGCCTGCTATCACTGTTCTGGATCTGTCTTGGAGTGCTGGTGGTGATTTTCTGGTGTTTGATCTTGATCAGTATAATGGGTTGGGTTGTAATGTGGAGTCTGCTACGTCCTGCTGCTGCTGTTTGCTGCTGCTGTTGTGGAGTCTGCTATGGCCTGTTGTGCAGGCCTGGTTGCATCTGTTATGGGTTGGTTTGTAATGTGTTAGGCGTGTTATCTGCTTTTGGCTCCCTTCTATGTTGGTGCCTTACCAACTGTGCTCTTTGTCTCTTTTCTGTTTTTGTTTATGTTCTCTGCTTTTTCTTCATTAATAAATTTCCTCTTCTTGGCTGCTTCAAAAAAAAAAAAATATGAACTGTGGAAAAACAAAATTCATTACAGAAATATATGGCTCCCAACAAAGTCATGATATAGTTATGGATTATTGAACCGTGACGATTTTTGGGGATTGATCCCTTCCCAAGAGAGATCAATTGACAAATTGGTTTTGAGACCAATTCTAACTCTATTTCTAACTCTGCCGGTGCTGCGTATTGTCTGCTACTGTATGGTCCTCTCAGCTTTCAGTCGATTGGTCCTCTCTGTCTTTGTCCTGTCAGTAGTTTGGTTTGTGTTAGCTTACTGTTTGCTATCTAATGTCTGCTCGTGATTTGTCTGTATCAAAGTTAAAGTTGTGCAGTAGGGGTGTTGGCACTATGCCTCAGAGCTGTTTGGTCTGTTTTGATGCTGGATTGGTAAAGTTCTGAGCATAGAACTCTGTTTGGTCTGTTTGGGAAATGTATAAAGGGGTGACTGAAGCAGGAGATCGGATCTGCTAAGGGAGTGTTAATCTACTGTGCTGGGCACTATGCCTCAGAGCTTGCATAACAAATTTTTGTTAACCATAAGAATGGTCCTAGGATGACTACTTAAACCTCAGAGGTTTTAGCAATTATGTACTGCAATATCTGCTGAATTAAAAAAAAAAAAAAAAAAAAAAAAAAAAAAAACTAACAAGAACTTCCAACCTGATCATATGCAATATCTGCTGAATTTCATCATCACATTTCAACAATTATGTACAGCATTAGGGAATATGTAGTGTCTACTAACTGTACACGGGTGGTCATTACGAACAATATTTGAACTGGTACAATTATATGAAGTGACGTTCAAGGTATGATTATATAAAGCGCCCTAGACCTATGATAGCTAAAGTCTTATGTCGGCTATTACTTTAGGCTAGCAATCAGGAAAATCATATGATTTTGGAACACTGTGTTCCCAACTAGGCTGCATAATTTTTAACAAAGGCACACTGTGTTCCCAACTAAGGCACATTGTTTAAACATATGTTTTTAAACATAAAGTTCATTGATTTAGTTGAGTTCTAAACTTAAAAGAAACCAAGGGTTGTACACTTATAATTAACGATATTAGTTTGATAGACAGTTATTGTCTTCGCTGTAATTAAGATGCTTATATGTGTTTATGTATTTTTTTTTTTTAATTGAAGCAACAATCAATACTCGAACATCTTTCCTTAAATCTGTTTGTAATTTGTGGCCTGCTTCCCCTTTTGTAGCAGGGCGAAAAAGATCAACTCGTGTACGAGGACGTACATTAGGCAAAGGAGTGCAAAAAAGAATAGCCAGGAAAAAAGGAGAGAAATTACATGTGTATGTCAATCGGATGTTGAACGCAATCACAGGAGGGAATGCAACCCCAGCGACGAATGAGTTGGGATTGCAAATTAGACGGTTGTGCCCTCTTCAGAGCGTGAAGTCATGGAGGAAAATCAATGAAAGTACCAAAGATGCGGTCATCCAAGCGGTGCTAGTACGAGGTTTATCTTCCCATAATGTCGTTATTAAGTTATTTGTAATTGCTTAAATTAATTGATGTACTAATTGTCTTATTATGTTTGTAGGACAAGTTTGTTATCGGGGATGATTTTGATAATGATGAACAAGCTCAACAAATTCTTGATAGAAAGGCATATTTGCTATACAAGGATTGGAGGTACAATCTAAAGCAAGAGTTCCTCGAACTTGAGGAAAAGGGTATTGATGACCCATATAGTCATCCGCCTAGTGGAGTGAGCTTGGATGACTGGAGATATCTTATTGATGTTGCTTGGAAAGACGAATCTCACTTGGTAACAAATTAATTAGAAACCCCATTCTTGAAATTCATTGATGTGAATATCAACAAAAATTTTGTGTTTAAATTTTGTGCATATATGTTTGCTTATGGAATTTTGTTAGAACATTTACTTAAGTATAGTTTTTGTTGAAAATTTTTGTTTACATTGGAACTAATGGGTGACATTTTTGTTGTGTAGATGACTTTTGGCATTGACATGTAGATCTTTTATTTTTTTGTACGGAAGATAATTCACATTTTTGCAAAGTTGGAAAGTTTTTTGTCGTCCCTGGCTTTTTGTGTGGAAATTGGATGAATCATACATATATTTTTTGGCGGGGTACATAGTATTTTTGGAACTTGTGTTAATTGCTCTGGTGGTATGTATAGATTACCTTTTGTCGTGGTACATATTATCATGGTAATTTGTACCATGTCAAATGGTCATTACAATGCATAGTATAGTAACAATGTTTTGTGTATAGAGGACATTGTTTTGGTAACACAGTTGGAATGTATGACGTTATTATTTGTAATTGGAATATGTTAGTTGGTTTGTATATAAGTTAACATTGTAAGGTATTCTTTTTGGTTTGATGGTTGTAAGTGAAACATGCATTACGGAATAGGTGTTAATATATATATATATTGATTTGTTTGTATTATAGGTTGTGGTGGATATGTTTTTATTATAGGTTGTGGTGGATATATACAGGTTTTGAAAAAAATTATTAAAATGAAAAAAAAATAAAAAATGACATTTTTGGTGACAAAAAAATTGGTAGCCAAAAAAAATAAATATATCTTTTGCCGACTAAATATTTAGTAGCTAAAACAAATGGAAAATAGTTTTGGTGACTAATTGTTTTTGTAGCTAAAAACTGAAAACAGTTTTGGCTACTAAAGCCTGTAGTAGCTAAACTAGAAGAACCTTTCCCCGACAAAATCTTTAGTAGCTAAAAATGACACTATTGGCGACTATTAATTTTGTCGCTATATATAATTGAACTTTTTGGCGACAACAGTTTAGTAGCCGAAGATGTGAGTTAATTGAATTGCTTCACCCTTTTGGCGACTAATATCTTAGTCGCCAATATGAATCATCAGCGACTAAAGCATCGTTAGTCGGTTATAGCTTCTTCTTTTGCCTACTAAACATTAGTCGGCATTATGTTGGATTTTTAGCGACTAAATCCTTGTTTGTCGCTAATTGCTACCCCTTTTCGCTATTAACAGATTAGTCACCATTTCTGTTGGATTTTTAGCGACTAAAGCAAATTTTAGTCGCCAATACCTTCGCCAACAATGTATCCGCGACAAAGCCAACGACCAAAATTTTTGGTCGGCAAATATTTTCGGCGACTAAAATCTTGGCTTTTGGCGACTAAAACATTAGTCGCCAAAAGTATATTTTTTTTGTAGTGGTTGGTACAAACAGGTTATGAATCTACTAAATTTGTGGGCTCATAGGAAGGCTGCCTTGCACATTTTGGTGCATTTGTAAGTTGCCGCTATGATGGTTTAGTTTTGGTAGTGTAGTAACAATAAACCTTTGTTCTTCATTGTGTTTGAAGTTTTGTTTGGCACTTTTCTTTTCCTTTTTTACTAATAATTCCAAGTTCCATACAAAGCCTTAGAATGGTGGTACGCAATTATCCCAACAATGTTGTTCCTTTTGTTGTGAATCCATTACCTTTTAGGACGCATATATATATGGGGCAACCAAGATTCCCAGTAGGGAGCATTTCGGGGTTGAGTTAATTGCAAGAATGGTCCCTTGCCTAGTTTGGATTTTGGTCTGGCATTGAACACTAGGCATCTATAAAACATATGAAGCAATGGGGGTTGATAAAGTAAGCCCTCAAATGTAAAGTGAAAGATGGGAATTGGAATTAGGAAACAGATCCAATCGCTTGGATCAGGCAGCTCCATTCACTAAACAGTCTGTCGACCTTCTCTGTCACATGGAGCTGCTGGCACCAGTTTGTTTGAGTTGAAGGCTGATCATGCTCTCAAGAAACACAGATTCAGCCATTGCTATTAGGCACCCAAAGAGAAACTTACATTGCTTGCTGTGTGTTTTTAGAGTTGCTTTTATTAATTTAAGAATGAAGGTTATCACTTGAATATCATAAACAAACACTCGAAACATAGAAGATCAACTTATTGTGTGTTTCATGGAACTTTTATGTTTTGTTCCCCTCTAGATGTTTGATGAGCCCATGAATAACAACGATGCATCTATTTGACTGTCAGTCTGCTGTTCACTGGTTTATGTGGGGTGCAAATATTATTACTTGACTTTATGGATAATATTGTTAATATCTTAATGTTTGTGGGAGCAATAAAAAATTATTTTTTGATTCTTTATACCAATGGAATTTTACTTACTAGTAATAATTTCAAATTTATACATAATGTGAAATTATTGTTAATAAGTTTTTGATATAAAATATCTTGATAAAATATTTTATGTGTTTTGCATTAAGATACTTGAAAATAATTTAGAGGATTATTTGTCTCATCTCAAAAGCATACCTAGATCACATTCTTACTAAATTTTAATATGCAGAATTGAAAGTTTTACATTGCTCTTCTTAGTGGTCGAGACTAATGTCAAATTACATGGATATTGTTATAGCTAGATAGGCTTTACAACAAAGAATCCAAGTTGATAATCAGAGTGATGTAAACCAAAATTAGCAAGCATATCATGTTTTCCAAGCACAATTGGCATCCTCCAAACTGTCTAACTATGGTTAAAGATTTCAAGCTAGATTCGATCAATCTGATTATTTAAAAAAAAAAATTTGTGATAATAACTCTGCCACAGATAAAATGCTAGAATGCCAGAAAATTAAAATTAGGAATGCAGAACCAGGAGCTTAGTAACTTAGGTAAACAAATGTTCAAATTCAGCTATTTGTCCCAAAAGGAGAGGGGGGGAGTTTTTGAAAATGCCTACATCTGCTACAAGGCAAATCATCAAATAAATATTACAGTAAAGCCATGCACCACCATATTTATGTGTATTAGCATGTGCCTCTCAAGGCAGTGCCACAGTTGTGTGTGTTTTAAAGATGAAATTAATTTTTATGCTCAATAGGTTGAAGAGAACGTTTACTACATAAGAAATTGATATATTAATCAACGAAGTGAATATTACCAACTCTAATTAGACCACATTCTAGAATTTATGCATTTGCAGTGTATCCTAGTTTACAGAATAGAGAAGCAACCTGTGTTCTAAGTTAGTTCTAGTTCAATATCTCGTCTCATTGTACAATCAACTCATAGCTAAAATTGCATATCAAATACTTATAAAATTAGTAAAAGGGAGATCAGTAATATAGAAAAACCCGAATGTGGTCTGGGCCAAGTAACTTTTGGTTACACATCAGAGCTTTGTGGAGATATCTAAGAGAAATATGCACATTTCGTAGGCCTTCCTCCATCATAGCCACATTGATGTATGTTGCGGCAATGTTCGGATGTGATGGGCCACATGTGAGATGTAACAGATAGAGTGCACGCTTTACATATCTGAAAATGACAACAAAAATTTTCATTCAATAGAAGCATGAAAAACATTGATGACAAACAGACCAGGATCAACATGAATACCTTTTTAATCTTGGCATCTCATAACAAACCTTCGCAGAAAGCATTCACAAAATAAAAATTAAAACTCAAAAAGCATATCCATATTCAACTCAACAAAGTTTGCAATGGGCTATATGCCCATAGATGCTTCAGCACATTCAAAAGACTAATATTGGTACTTAGTACTTGGAAGAACATGTGATTTTCCATAGATTGGAGGAGCTTGAGGACGGAGAAAAAAAAGCCTTAAGAAAGTTATATATATGCTTAGAGGAAAAAAAGACCAACAAATGATTGATGTGGTGGATCTAGAAAAGTTTAAGATAATTCATGCGACAAAACCAAAACATGATAAGGAAATCTGAATTTTAATGTTGAACCACAGCAAAGAGTTCATTTACTCTACCAGAATGAGCAATTTCAGATAAGAGGTTAAATAAGCTTATTGAAAAAGCACATTTCTTGGGGTTTGCATCATAATCCACCTCATGTATCAAGTACAATAAATACAGAACTTGATTTATTGCAATAGAAATAGCAACGTAAACGGTAAACAATACCGACCTAAATAATTCTACACAAACGTGAAAATTTCATGAAGACTTCATGTAAATTTTAAACGCAATGCTACAAGATACAAAACAAAAACATACTTAAAGGCTAGCTCTGTATGCTGAAGTCTATAATAGAACACAACAAGATCCCCATAGCTCTTCATTCTATTTGGATGATCAAGTCCTAATTCTCTCTCATTAATATCCAAGGTTTTTGTTGATAAATTGTGGCCTGTAATTGGGACTACATGAATTAACTATATCTTGATATATCCACTTTAATAAAATAAAAAAAGTCAAGACAATAGAAGTATTTGAAGTTTGTATGCCTACGCAGGAAATATAAATCTAGGCAGCAAATCTAGTAAGTAAATTTTCTAGAAATGGTTCATAACACAAGTGATTTTGATGCAGATCATGAGGGTTGAGGAACAACAATATGAGAAGCCACACTACCGGTATCAGCTGACAATCAAGTTCTGGGCCCACTGGGGGGGTGTGTGTGTGTGTGTGTTTCTTTTTTTTTCTTTTTTTCTTTTTTTTTGATCGGCAAAAAGAAAAAACTTTATTGATGTAGGAGCAAAGTACAAGGTACGGACAAGATACATCAATAAAGAGAGGCAGGTGCAAAAGCATCACGATAAGCTAAATCATTCCAACTAGGTTGGCACCTAAAAGATCATCCTATCGTTTGCTAGCACCACCAAAGTTGGTGAGCAACCAACCAAATATACAGAACAAAAACACCTCAACAAAACAGTTCACAGCTGAGCATAGCAAACCAACACAGATTAGCAAACCATATCAGTTCAGCAAAGCAAACCAGCAGACCACAGTTGAGCAGCAGAGCAAACCACAAAGACAAGACCAGCAATAGAGCATACCAGCAGCAGAGCATATCACAAAGCAGGATAAATTTGATCCACATTGCAAGTCTCACCTTAATTCAATGTAATACTCTACTACACAGCACCCCTGCAACACAGTAACAATACAGATCACAGCAACAAACAGATCAAAGCAACAGACAAAAATAGATCACAGCAACAATACAGATCACAGCAACAGACAAAAACAAACCAAACAATCGAAATCATTGCAAAGTTCAACGAAAATAAATTCTTTTGATTGAAGTAGAGAAAATAAAGAGCTCTAACTCAACTAAACTCAACTCAACTCAACTTAGCACGGCTTTGTTTATTATTATTATTATTATTATTATTATTATTATTCCATTGTTTGTTATTGCTCCTCCATTTCCTCAAAAAAAATAAATAAATAAATAAATAAAATAGAGAAACAGACAATAGATAGCTGAAAACTAAAATAACTAAATCCAAATAAACAAAGCCTAATCTCACAGTCAATAGATGAAGCTAAAATGAAGAAAACTAGTCACAAAGCATACTAATCAATCAAATTAAACACTGACATACGAAATCGATTCATTAATATCACAGATAAATGTCAAATAACATACAGTAGTACCTGAACTCGAGATCAACAATCAACAATCAAGACAAAGAGCTATGGTTTGTAAACTATATATATATAATCTAGAGAGAGAGAGAGAGAGAGAGAGAGAGAGCGGTTATACTTGGGGGAGTGCCAGAGCTTTTGACTCGAAATTCACACCTTCTATCTCTGTACATATGTTTCTCTCTCTAAAGCATTCGCAGCTTGAGCCGTATCTGTGTGTGTCAAACTAGTATGATAGAGTTTTGTGGGATATATATATATATATATATATGGGATCTACAAACAAAAACAACAAGCAGTGACAAGCTGTGACAACTCTATAATCACATTCGTTTAGTTAATAAGCAACGTCAAAAGATAAGTATTACAAAACCCCAAAGAATATGCCTTTTGGGAGGAGAAAAAACAAAAACGAAAAAAATAAATAATGAAAAAGAGTCCTTCTCACAGAGAAAAAGATCAAACCTCTTTATATATATATATATACATGTATGAATTTACGTACATAAAAGGCAATTGATGAGATAAAAATTATCGATCATGGTATCCAAGGATAACCCAGATCATACAAACAGTGATACACAAAATTCCCAACTAATAAGCAGATTATATAAAGCAAATCCGATATACTTGCATGTGGTCTAAATATCCAACCAGAATAAACAACGATATATATATATATATATATATATCAGTTTTCATTTTTGTTCATAGTTTGGAGAGTATGATTTGAGGCCATCCCTTCAAACATTCACTCATTAGGGTTTTAAAAATTAGGGAAAACAAAAAATTTGGTTTTCAAAATAAGGGAAAACAAAGGATAATAGAGAAATTAAGCAACAGATAGAAAGAGAAAGAGGACCCATACCTGATCTTGAGGTTGTTTGAAAATAGGTGAACCGGTAGTAGCAGAAAAATGGTAATGGTGGTGCTGGTAGGTGCAAAAAGAGAGAGCAACCATGTAAGAAAGAGGAGTAATGAAACACAAATACAAACATTGTGTGTGTGTGTGTATGAGAGAGAGAGAGAGAGAGAGAGAGAGAGAGAGAGAATACATACCTAACAATGGAGACCCAAGTACTTTTCGAAGCGCCGCTGATGCTTGGTCGAAAAAGCGACGCAGGCGACTGTGATGACAGAGGAGAAGCGACTTTGGCAACTCCAAATCGAGCAGGAGAATCGACAATGAGGTACATATGAAGAGTGGTGCGCGAGAGTGGTGAGCGATATATACTGTATAAAGAGTTCGAAAAATTCACTCCGTGGGCAATTTTTTCCTTCAAAACTGTTTGGTCGGCATTGTCCTTCAATTTACTAAAATTACATTCAAAACGAAGTTGTTTTATTATCTGCGACCAAACTATTTTGGTCACTAATCTCTTTTTTTTTCCCTTTTTTTTTTGGTTTTCCATACTCGACCTTTGCCGATCAAATTTCAATTTTGGTCACAGAAAATTCTATTTTAGCAACTACAAAATATTAGTTGGCAAAACTCCAAAGCTTTGCCTACGAAATTTTAATTTAGTCGCCAAATAAAAACTTTTTTTGACAAAATAAAAGTTAGTATGCAAAATTAGTCAGGAAAAATGTAATTTCAGATGAACCTTTCTAACATTCTTCAGTCGTGGAATTGACTCCTCCAAATTTATGAAGCCGCCGCCGCCAGGGGCGGAGCCAAAGAAGGTCGAGGGGTGTCACGCGCACCCTCTCTATTTTGAATT